GGCAAGTGTAGAATATGACTTAGAAATTATATAATTTAAATGACTCAGAAATAGGAAATTTGAATCAAAAAAAAGATTAGCGAATATGTACTTGTACGTACATGCATCGCCATCATTAAAAAAGCTCATAACGACTTCTTTCTATAGCATATTTTGATACCAGAATTGTCAACATATTTGACCTTTACATACACCATTAATGTAAAGAATGATCCATAAACAAAAAGTTAATTAGGGCAACTTTAGTGTAAAAATCATTCGATATAGTACATTTTGCCCCATTGGACGTGTAACCAATTAATTTTGTCATCATATCGTGGTCATCAATGCAAATTACTGTATTTGACAAATTTTAAATTTTACTGGATAAGTATAGACCCTTTTTATCCCTGCTTGCTTATAGGGTCACATTTGATATATACTATTTTTTCATTTATACTAAATGGATTTAATTAACACTATAAACATTTCTCAAGCTATTTGTTCAACACTTTGAATCACAAGTGATTTCACTTTTTACTTTTTTATAATAGCACGTTAATGCTATTATAGGCTTATTTTTACAAAGCGTGTACGGTCTTTGCTAAGTTTTTTTCTTCTTCTTTGCGAACCACTGTTCTTTATCCACAGTGCTAAACTGCCCATAAACGTGATGAAATGAAATAAACCGGGTTCCCGTACAAACTCATTATTTTATCACATTTATTGGCAGTTTATCACTTTAGATGAAGACCCCTTACTTATGGTCTCACTACTAAAGATGACCGAAAGTTATATATTAGTATATATTCACTCACTGCACACAAATTTTTTCGAGGCTTTAAGCCTGGATAATCTAAGACAGCCTATAAATACTCGATCCGTATAAGGCTGGTTTTCTTCTTTATTGCTCTCTCCACGAAATCAATACCTTGGCGAGCAATATCTTTCCGGCAGTGGTCATGTACATACATCCAGTTGGTTAGCCTTTCTTCGTCCTCTACAAAAAATAAAAATAAAAATATATATACTATGCCACACTTACCGTCCTTGTAACTTACCAGAGGCTTTACGTAACTGCAGTTAAGCTTTTGGTTTTTAGTTCGTCATATATGTATATACAGATTACACCGAACGACAGTCAAATTTACACACGAAAAAATCGATATATTCCCAAAAGTGGGGGCCAAATATAGTAAAACTGCGTTTATAGCTTTTTCTCTCTGGCGTCAGGATTTTTTTTTTAAAGGACTTTGAAATTTCTAGAATATGATTGTATAAAAAAATTATTCAAAAGATTCGGTGCATTGTAGAATAAGAATATGGGTATCAATTAAAACGAAAAATTCTGTAGAATAGGAAAAAAATTTATTTCTGGGTGCACCAAGACGAATAAGTATCGAAAATGTCCTTTTCAAATTTTATCCTTGAATATCCTTGGAAATTTCCAATATTTATTTTTGAAAAAAATATATATGTCAAGGACTAATATGTATATTGTAACTATCAATATCTCATAAAGAGAAGTGTACATTTTTTTATCTAAAACTAATAACGTTAGAAGAACGAAATTCGAGGATGTGGTAGTTAACATATTAGTCCTTGACATATATTTTTTTCAAAAATAAATATTGGAAATTTCCAAGAATATTCAAGTATAAAGTTTTAAAAGAACATTTTCTAAACTTATTCGTACTGGTGCACAAAAAATTAAATTTTTTTCAATTCTGCAGAATTGCTCCTTTTAATTGATACCCATTTTGTTACTCTACAATGCACCAAATCTTTTAATTTTTATACCCGAGCGCACTTGTGCACAAGGGTATTATAACTTTGTTCACATAACGGTTGTTTGTAACAGGCAAAACGAATCGAGATAGATATAGACAAATGTATACATAAATGATCAGAATGAAAAGAGAAATCGATTAAGCGGTGACTGTCTGTCCGTCCGTCCGTCCGTCCGTCCGTCCGTCCGTCCGTCCGTCCGTCCGTCTGTGCACACGATAACTCGAGTAAAAATTGAGATATCTTAACGAAACTTGGTACGTGCACTTCTTTTGGGCATGGGACGGATGGTATTGAAAATGGGCGAAATCGGACAATAACCACGCCTACCTCCCATATAACGGTAATTTTCAGAAATACGAAAAGTGCGATATTTTAGTAACTACTGAAGATAATTCACTCAAAATTGATATTTACAATGAGTTTTAGACGAAAAATAAGAATATTAAAAAATTTTGGCAAATGGGCGTAGCCACGCCTACTTATAGTTACATGCGTATATCTTGGTAACCGCTTCACCAATTTCTTCCAAACTTGGCACAGTTCTTGATCCTGCTACAACATACCTAATGGCCGAAAATTTTTAAAATCGGACAATAACCACGCCCACATCCCATATAACGGTAATTTAGAAAAATACGAAATCCTCGATAAATCAGTAAATATTAAAGCTAATTTATTCAAAATTGATGGTTGCAACAATTTTTTACCAAGAAATACGCTTATGATACAATTTTGGAAAATAGGCGTGGCACCGCCCACTTATGATCACATATATGTATCTCGCTAACCGTTCTAGCAATTTGAACCAAACTCGGTATGGTTATTGTGCTTGCCACATAAAAGCAAAGCGTTGAAAATTATTGAAATCGGACTAAATTACGACCACTTTTCATATAACGGTATATTTCAGTAATGCTTGAAACTTCAATATTTCGAAATTTAAGGACGATAATTTACTTAAAATTTATACACCCCGGCTTATCGTGTAGCGGTAGTTTTCGGAAAGGTAGAAAACATATATTTAATAATTGCGCCGGGTATTTAATGTTCGGCTCCGCCCGAACTTAGACTTTCTTACTTGTTTTATTTAATCATAGCCTAAAAATTGCAAAGTCAAAGTCAAAGAAAAAAAAAAATCCTGACGTTAGAGAGAAAAATTAAAAAGGCAGTTATACTATATTTGTCTCCTTGTTCTGTGAATATATTGATTTTTTCCTGTGTTTTAAAAATTTTTGATTTTTGTCGCACGGTGTTCTATATTCATATTAGGTCACTTTCTCTCTATCGTCAATATTTAATGGCAATTATTTAAATTACCATTACCAAACATATTTGAACCATCCAATTGGATGCCACTACCACCAAATGCGTTAAAAAATAAAAAGCTTTTTATATTTACTTATACAAGAAATATTTCGTTAATA